TTACTAACTTCTTAGTTAGTATAAGGCCACAGACATGATTATCGATCGTCCGGGTAAGCTTTGGTTACATTTTGAACCGGAAGACAAATCGGATCAACACAATGAATTGGTGTACGAATTCTCGGTAAAAATCAAGCTCCTCATGATTTTTCAATTCATTTCATGGAAGGATTGACATTATGAATTATTGATCTATCGCATGATCTTTCAGGCACCGGGAGTAGCACTGGCGATGTATAATGTCGATGAGGTATGGTACAAAGATGTATGGTCATGATGACTCGTATATTATCCACTAACGATACATGATGGATCAGTCTATCAGAGGGTTCGCTCATAGTAGTTTTCGGGTAGCATTGGACAAAGAAATGCCCTTGGTATTTACTATTAAATATTCGATGTTCACCTCTAAATCAAGTAAAAGTTTATGGTGACACCTTTTAACCCTAGTATTTAAGCACCAAAAACACCATACTGAAGAAATACGACGGTCGATTCAAAGATATCTTTCAAGAAATTTACGAAAGGTAAAGCGGATATCGATTAAGCGATGAAGGTGTAATTAGCAATATACTCGGCTCATGTTATCGTTTAACTTCTTAAGAGATTACAAGGATAAATTTGATGCAAAGAACATCTGGTATGAGCACAGACTTATTGACGATATGGTTGCCCAAGCCCTGAAATCCAATGGTGGATTTGTGTGGGCAACAAAAAATTATGATGGGTTAGTTTCTGACAGACCTTTCTTCCGCACATCTTATCAACTTATATTCACGTCATCAAATTCTTTCCACAATTTTAGTGATGTGCAGGTAGGACCTCATCTCTATAGGCGTTCTGCTTTTCCGCACTGAATAAGATGTGTTAATTGTCAATTGTTAGTCCGATATTTTGGCCCAAGGTGAATCCTTAACAAGAAAATATTTTCCATTTGAAATGTGACACCCTTTATTAACTACGATTTCATATATCCAGGATTTGGTTCATTGGGCTTAATGACCAGCGTACTTGTAGCTCCGGACGGGAAGACCATGGAATCCGAAGCCGCTCACGGTAAACAACCAGGATGTGAACGTCGTAAATCATGTCATGTATGGATACTGATGCTTTGTAATACATCTTGTAGGCACAGTGACCAGACATTATCGGCAGTACCAACAGGTAAAGCATGATCATGTTTACCAATCGTACACCAAAAAGTGAGACGATCCTTATTATTGCTGTTATTATTTTTATTTACAAACAGGGTCAAGAAACTTCGACAAATCCGATTGCATCAATATTTGCGTGGACACGCGGTCTAGCTCACAGGGCTAAATTGGATGACAATCAAGAATTGTCGAAATTTTCTCAGGATCTTGAGAAGGCGTGCGTGGAAACGGTAGAGGTTGACGAAAAAATGACCAAGGATCTGGCATTGGCAATTCATGGCGCAAAGTAGGTCCTTTGATTTGACATTTTTTGATAGAATCCTATGTTTCTTTCTTCACACCTATTCATTCACATCCATCATTGTGTTCTTGTCACCATACAAGCATGAAACGAGAACATTATGTTACCACCGATGAATTTTTAGAGCACGTTGCAGAAAATCTTAAAGGTGCACGCAACGGATAGAACACTCTTAAATTTAAATTATATTGTCCGATGAGATAATTGTTATAAAATATCACATTTAGAAATCACTTTGAAAGATGATTTACAATAAAAGATGAACTTTAATAATTAATATGGTACATCAAACAATAAGAATAAATGATTATGATATATAATTACAAAACTGGTGAACCTAAATGCATATCCATTACCTATTTTGCAACTGTGTTTGTATTATGCGTTACACTCACACGAAATTTAAATATTCGACCGTTTAAATGGCGATTTGCACAGCCACTCTCAAATCAATAAAATAACCGAATCTATTCGGATAAACGCGCGTTAGTAAAGTACCCTCTCCGACAAAAATATTTCAAATATTCGATGTACCCTACCTTACCTTTGTAAAAGTCTCTATCAACCAAGTCGAGTTCGGCGACGACTACGAGGCGAACGGCCTCCGTTAGTATATACCACACCAAGTGGTCGAAAGCGTGTTGTCGGCCGTAAAGACATCAGCGTGGACATTATATTTCTTGCTGGCGCGTCTCTCCTGTTGATCTCCTTTTTTAGCATTTTTGCGGTTTCTTTTACCGAATGCCTCCAACCAATTTGTTCCCGCACAAGCTTTTTCGCTACTCGGTGGCAGAGTTGTCCGGGTGGATTTCCTCGGGGAAATGGTGCCAACGGAGGTGAAGATCTCATGATGAAGTTGTCAAATTCCTAGAGAAGTCGAATTGAATTTAATTGACGAACCTACTTTCTCTCAACCACACCATTGATAGAGGAAATCATACGAATACGAACGAATAATATATAACTGAGCTCGTCTCTGCTCCACGAGACGGGAGTACACAATTCCTCTTCCGACGAAGAAATTTCAAAGTTCACAATCTCTCTCTGAAATGGTGGGTTCTCGGGTGTTGTTTCTCGATCGAGCATTCTCATGAAGTCTTTATATCGAGAACTCGGTGACAATGACGGCGAAATGTTTCGGAATTTTGTGAATTTTTTTTTAACGATGATCCTTTTAAAAGATTTAAACTTTACGGAAATTTTCACTAAAATCATTACGTAACATGTTAAATTGGTCGCTTTAGGCATGGATCAGCCTCCCCCAGATAAGAAGTTCGTAGAACTTTGACCGCGTAAAAAAACTTTGTTATTGGGAATCGTCGTGCTTCATTTCTATCGATCGTCCAATAAGGAATTACGTCGTGAAAGACTTCACATGCCTGGTGCATTATTTAACCGGCATCACTCTCATTACATCGATTGTTTTGGGTACCTATTACGGTTTTTTTCGCGGGTTTCACAAGACCCAACTTTTGGCTAAATTATAAATAAAGTAACGCACACATCGTTCACTTTTTACCCAACAAAAGAAGTCGACAGAAAATTGAATGCATAAATTACTACTCTTTCCTTCATGCACTTTATCTCCCATTTGAATTATGTTTGGTCGTACCGTGGTGGCCGTTTCGGCCTTGCGGAAGA